CAGGCGCTCGCCTCTTTATATACAGCTGCCCATAGACATTGGTCATCCAAAGGGGCCTTACTGCATATGGCTGCAGAAAAAAAAGAAATCATAAAGCAGCATTTCAGACCATCAGGACTTACCTGTTGTGTATGGTTAGTGCCGCGATACAATCCAAGGCATAGTATGTTTTTTTTTTTTACAGATTTCATTTCTATGTACGACAGTGACTGGTGCAGTGACTTCAGGTGAGCTGCAATGCATTGGGGAAAAATGTATGCAGATTTTATTTTTCACATTTTCCACCACACACTACAGTCCCCTTTAAGGCAGCACTGTGGTGTGACCAGGACAGACACAATTATGATTTTTGTGCTCACTAACATACTCTGCATTCCCTGAAGGACAAAGCGGAGTACCTGAATCTGACAGCTGGGCTACAGTGCCTTCAGGAGTAGGCCACTGGGCACAAAGCACAGCCTAGGGGTGGCCCCTATTGGTAGCTAAACCACTATTTGCTAGAGGCAGCTCAGGTAGTCACAAAACAGTACATAGTGACACCTGATCAGGCAGAGAACAGGATTTTATGGTATAAAAATTTCTATTTTCTTATGTTTATTGAAGGACACAGTAGAGATCTTACGGCTTTGTGATATCCCAACGTCAGATAGGTCTATGGAGGGGTGTGGAAAAAACCCACAAACTTCACTCAGGCAGCAAACTGGATACAAATATAAGTATTTCCCTGCAGAGGGAATAAAAACTCCCAAAAGGAAGCTTAGCAGGGTCTGGCCCTGGCTACACCCCAGGGCCATCCCTTTAAGCCTAGCTTCCTACTCCTGAGGGTGGCGATATAACCATCAGATTCAAGATCTCTGCTGTGTTCAACGAACATGAGAAATACAAAGGTTTTCAGAGTGCTCCAACATTGAGCCTGACCTGTGCAGATCAACTCAGCTAAACCGGTGCCAACGAGCCACCCAAGTCTTATTTTTCTTCGAGAGGAACACTCCTGGCTGAAACCCTGAAGATCCAAAAATTATAAGTTATTTCAACTTTTGCAGCCAATTTAGGATTACATCTGCTTTATTTGTGGCATATTCCAATTCGCACAGCAGAACTTAAAATCGTCACTTAAATTTTTTTTTTTACTTGCTTAAAAATTAGACCTAGCTTACCACCACCGACTATAGCAGGGGGAGGGGTGCAAAGGGAAGCTACACATCAAAAGATAAAGCCACACTTTATGGCTTTCCTTCTCTTTTGGGTCACATTTACTAACGTCCCCGTGATCCAAACTGCAAATAGAGGGCTATTGCTCACCATGTGCCGACAAGCGCAGAGCCACGCTGCAGCTAAGGATCCTGACATTATCAGGATCCACCTAAGTGCCTGATTGACAGCTGGCTTTTGACTCTAGAGCCAGAACCAGCTGTTCCGCCCCCTCTTTAAGTCCATCTAATGAGCGCTGAAGGAAGAAGGTGGAATCCCTGCAAGCTGCAGATAGGAGACAACCAAGCCATCAGTGGCGATACCAAATTACCAAAAATGCCCAGTGTCTAGCGACAAGGTAAAACCCACAGGCAGGGATAAAGTTCCTTTCACCCATCAAGTCTGTCAACGTTCCATATATACTGGTCAACATTGTTCCCATTAGGAGCATTATTTGTGTTTTTTGATGCATTGGCAGGTCATAGTGTTATGGAATATCCTGTGACCGGCAGACACTTTTCTAGCTTTAATAAATCACCGACTTACTCATTCCTGTTTCCCGTAATGGTCAATGCACTCTGGGAATCCCAAACTTGCAGTGCCAAGCTGGTTTTATAAGCTGCAACCTCCAGGACTGTCACCTTTCTTTCCGTCACTTAGTGACAACCTGACCCAGAAAAGCATTTTGCCAGCGATGGCAGCTCCAAGTTCTCTTTTTATGGAGATCAAGAACCTTCATTCAGAAGATAGAGATTTAAAAAAATGTGAAAAATTGTTTTAAAATAGTTAAGTCATACCGGTTAAGCTTGTACTTCTGTCTTTCCCCTTATTTCCTGTCCATGTGACACCAGGACAAGAATCATCGGAATTCTGGGACAGAAAGCCACATGCAGCAAAACTACACCAAGTTATTTCTCAAATACTTGACCAAATTTGTTTTAAGCTGCGACCCCAATGGGCGGGGGGGGATTCCCCATCACTATGTACTGAAAATTGAGGGGAAATCTATCAAAGGCACAGACAGCACCCAAACCTAAGAGGCTCCAACTCTCCCCCGCACCATCCAAAAGTTTAGGCCAACTTCTCTTGTAAATGTTTGTTTTCTTAAACTTTAAACACATTCCCATGAATGAAAATTGCTTAATGTGACAGTTAATGAAAACCCTGTATTGTGTAATATGCCTACTGGCCTTTAATGTAACCTTAAAGCTTCCCCATGGTTGATGAACTGAAGACGGAGTCCGGATTTTATATTTAATAAACTATTTCTTTATTACAGAATTTATTATCTACACAATTACAAAGAATAAAACTGTACAGACAAACTGCAGACAGAAGGGAGACTAAAGCCACTTTGTGAGGCGGAAGACTACTTGCACTGAAAGTATATCAGAAGGCAGAAAAAAATATAAAATTAAAATTGATGTCTTTTGCAATCCCTCCATTTTGTGCAATACAGCAAGTGTCCTTACCAGCAAGACAAGTGAGCTTCTAGGCAAGGTAAAGGTTGGTACCTGATCTACCCTTAGTCTTGGCACCAATGTGCACGTTTTAAAATTGTCAGATTTTTTTTTTCAGTACCTTAAAGCAGCAGTTTCGGCACCTGTGACCTAAATGCAGCCGACAAAGCCATTCGGTGGGCCAGGCCAATAAAAGGCCAGTATTTGCTATTAGCATCGCTGTGAAGACGGCTGTGTTCACATGTTTGTTCCACCCACGATATGGCTGCCTCCCGCGTTAAAAGGCAGAAGGTGCTTTTTAAATTCACATACCTAAAGACACAGACAAAACATAAAAAACCTGGCCATTGTACCGGTACATTCATGTTCTCATTGGGATCTGTGTGGTATTTAAAATGAAACCGTGAAAGGGACGCGTGGATAATGACTTTAGCAAAGTGGTTATGAGGTCAGCAGGCATGGGTCAGCCGGAGAAATGATGGCACTAAGCAAATTTGTCATCAAGTCTGCCGACAATTAGACTGAAACATGGTACAGGGTCAGTGACAAAACTAGCCATCTACCTGCAATGTGGATACCAAGATCATTCTGCAATGCCAAATGCATAAAGGTTTGCTAGTCTTGGGAAGGAGCTTCCCTGATGAGCTTGCGTTCTCATTGCACTCAAGTATCCGAAGGCGTAATGGCAACTTGTTACTAATCAATACCATGCAGTCAGTCATGACCAGAAAACATTTTAGCAATCAGGTGGTCAAATTAAGTTTTAAAACTTCCCTAGAAGAACATTGGGAATACTACTTCTCTATAGGAAGGGTGCTCAGATTAGGCTATGCACCAAACCTAAAATGGAGTAGGTAGAAGCGCTCTAATGGCAAACTTGCCGTCTGACTGGGAGAGATCTATAGTTCAGCAATGAGCTTCTATATTTTAGTATTGGGGACCTAAATCACTCAGACCTTAGTGTCTCCGATACAATGGCAGGTAAAACTACAAAACAAGAAAAACATTTAAAATGTAGACACATAAGAGCCCAAAAAGTGGGCATAGGAAAACAAGTCTGCTTCCTGTTCCGAAATAGACAATTACATTAAAAATATATATGGGTCACTTCATATATTAAACATGAACCACTTAAGTCACGCATTGTAAATATCCTTCATTAGGAAAAAAGTTTAGTTGTTGTAGGGTCCAAGAAAAAGGTCCTGGAGGTATTTCATAGATAGAGGCATGCAAGTGAGGAATCTGTACCACTATCTTCCTACCAGCAAGCATTAAGGACAAAAGTGGAGCCTTGGGGTGCATAGCAATGGGTTAAAGATGACCAGTCCATTACAGTCCTGCATGGCTTGTGTGTCAGTGATAAAGTAGGTAGCCTTTGAGAGATGCTGGCAATGGAAGTGCTTGGATTTCATTTAGTCTCTCTTTTCCCAATGCAAGACGAACAGACCGTCGACACAAGTCCATTAGAGGCAAAGGTTCAGCTGTAAAAGAAAAATATACATTAGGATTATAGAATAGAATATAGTACAGCAGAACTAATTCCGAGAAGACTGCACACCACCACCTAGGGCTTGGTTAAAGACAAACCTTCAGCCAAATACATAGTTGTGACCCATTTTACATGTCAAAGGGTTCAGTGTAATCTTATGATCCCAGCCACATCAGGGACTATGTGCTTCTACTGCAGTTAAGCAATACACAGTTACAGTAGGTGAAGCAACAGACAGACCTTCCTGGTCCCAGACTGAATTCAGATCCGTTTTATTGCAGGAGAGCTTCGTATAGCAAGTCCGTAACAAAAACAAAAAAAACAATACCTGCTTGTCTGAGACCTGAAACTAATGTCAGTGACCAGCAGGGAACCCGCTAATAGGTCCCCCCAAACAGACAGCTTGTGTACCATTTTAGTGTTCTGTTGCTACTCAGCACTTTCACCCAGCAGCAGGTTTTACAGCTAAAGGAAGAGTCCTAAGCATCAGTCAGCTCACAAAGTCCCGCCAGGACCAATATTGAGGCCTGGCAAGATGTAGACGTAAGAATGGAGGCTTTATCCCACCCACAGCTCTACAAAGCTTCTGGACTGCAGCCAGAAGCTTTGTAGACACAAACCACGACTTGAGATTCTCAAAAAAAGTTTTCTCCAGATCAAACCCTGGAGCCCTTCACCATGTGTATGTGAATACCTATTACATACACGAGTATCTCAATTCTTTCATAGATTGAGGATAAAGGTTCCACTCCTACAAATTGCACACCAAGCCTACACATTTACAAGTACAGAAAAAGGCAATCCAATGTTGAGGGCTAAGGAGAGTAACCAGAGGGAGATGGACGACCATTGCCAATTTGCTCCTCTTACACACTGATCAAGTATGTAGTCAGTGAAGTTGGAAATCCTAATATGCATACTGAATGGCAACCAATGTTCTCATGGCACAGGTTTCCCCTAATGTGCAAGTATAGGCAAAAAAAAACAGTTGGGGGGCATAAAACTTAACGGAACATCTGAGCAGAGTTGTGGCGGCACGGAGCTGGGGGGGCGTTCATGGATTGGCGGCTGAGCTGGATCAACTAAATAGAGAATTGTTGCCCTCATCTCCAAAACCCCTTATCCAAGTGTATGGTAAGCTGCAATATTACTTTTGTTTTCATTACCCTGTATTCGTTGTTAAGCTTTATTACCCTTTATTTTTACCTGGTGATCTGGCCAGTAACACATTTCCTGTCTAAGGGCCCATTCACACCACCTCCAGACCAGACCAGATTGTTTCCACACTTAAAATGCACCCTAATTTATCCCTATGCTATTTCTGGCCTGTGCTGTTTAAACAGAGTCCCGGCGGCAAAAGTCGCCGGGAGTCTGTTTAAACAGCCCCGATGCTGGCGACGTACACTGTACGTCGTCAGTCACGAAGGGGTTAATTAAAAAAACAACTTGTCCAAGGGCTAAAGCAGTGCCAAATCTACTTGTCCTCCATGACAATCGACTTACAAGTACCGATTTTGTTACTTTCGGATCTCACTGACACTGAATACCAATACCGGTGCTTCCGCTGGCATGGAGCAGGCTTCCGTGGTAATCAGGAAGCCGGGCAGCGGGTAATGACATCCCGCCCAGGTTCCTGATTGCCACGGAAGCCGGCTCCATGTTTGGCCTGCTTGATTGTAATTGACCGGGAAACCTGCTTCACGGTCAATCAGGAAGCCGGGTGGGCGAGTAATGACCTCATAACTGGCGCGATGCCGATTGCCTGGAAAGCCGGCTTCCCGGCCAATCAGAAAACCAGGAGGCAGGTCATTCCTTGCCGCACGGCTTCCTGATTGCGCGGGAAGCTGGCTCCATGTTCCCCTACGGCACTGCCAGTCAGAGGAAATTTTCATCTGGCCGTAAGTTCCAATATCCGGGAAGGTATCGGAGCATTTAGGCGAGTACGAGTACTTGACCACTCGGTATCGGCACTGATACTAGTATCGGTGCACCCCTATCAAAACATATTTGACTGCTAAATAGCGCTTCTCAGCGCAGTCATCTGACCACGTTGACCAATGAGTGCTTGCTATTTGCGAGCAAAATTCAAAATGCATAGGGGAGGACTGCGCTGGACAGCAGTACGGGGGACAGATAGTACACCCATACTGGCGGAGGAGAGGGATTGTTCGCCGAAAGGCAAGTATAGCCAGGGGGTGGCGGTTTGGGAGAGACAGGGCCAGATTATCGGGTCATTTTTATTTTTCCATATTACCTGGGAAAATGAACTTACCCTTTAATGCACATTGTGTGTGTGTGCGTAAAAGAATTCTGGCTACCACCATGGAATGGCAGCTGCAATCAAAGCACATGCAGAATGTCCTACGAATGCGTTTATTGGCATGCAGATGGCAGGGGCAGCAGGGTTTCATTTTCAAAATCTTTATATACATTTATTATTTTTTTTTACTTTTTACATTTTTGTTTATTTTTTCCACCTAATGTTCTTCCCATCACATAGGGGATTAAAATCCTTTATGTCATAGTTTGGAGGTGACAGGTTCTCTTTATGGAACCTGCCCTCCAACACAGAACAGCTGTTCCGTGTAGTTCCTGACAGCCAAGACAGGTGGCGCTATTACATTGCCACGGTCTCAACACACAGAGAGCGCATAGAGCAGACTAATACGGCTCTATGGCTGAGCCGTTGTGCCGTATTTTTGGGGGTCCACCAGGAGAGCGGGGGACCCCAAAAACTACAGCGGGGGTGCGGGCAGGAACGATCGCACAATGTACATTCAGCTCCGCAAGTCCGGAGATGGGATAAATGTACATAAAAACTACTTGCCCAGCACCCGAAACTGCATGTCCCGGGCGTCGGGCGATAAGAATTCCACACCCCTGCACAATGCATCCCAATGTATCCCTATGCTATTTCTGGCCTTTGAAAAATATTGGACCTCTCATTTTGTCTAGTCTGGAATGCACTGGGAACTGCAAGTTCGCACCATTTTCCGGACCAGATCTGGTCTGGAAAATGGTGTGAACCTGCCCTGAAGCTGGCGTACACCTATAGGATTATCTGCAGATTTTTTAGGGTCAGATGGAAAAAGTGCAACAGATTCGTCCATCTACACTAAACTGTGTCCACTGACCCAAGCTTCAGTACCTTGCTAGTCGGCCCCACTGGCTGTCAAAGTACCTGAACAATCTGATTGGAGAGCAAGCAGGGCCGATTAGCAAGATATTGAAGCTTGGCCCAGTGGGAGATTGCTCCAGCCACACAGTTTAGTGCGGTAAGGTCTGGCATGAATGAGCTCCAGAAGATCGGTTGACACTTCATTAACAACATGTAGCCCAGAGTCAGTTTGTGTCTTAAGCAGACCAACTTTCTAGGTTTCTAAAATGCTTCATCAGAAAAAATTACCTTCCACCAGCAGAAGACCTGGTCTTAGCACGTGCACCCAATCATTTGTCAGCTTGTAGTAGAAGTGACCCAGCTCCTGGAGCAGAAACCACAAAGCTGCCCAATGGCCCCAAACTAACCTGGGTGACATTACCTATGCCCATTGTCCAACGATAGCAACCACACAGAAAACTTTTAAAACCTTACGGTTACTGGTGGAGGAAATCATCCGATCCAGACTGGACAAAACCAAGGGAAAGGCTTCAAGGTTTTTAGTAACAGATCTTGGGCTCAAAACACACCAGTGCTATCAAGTGCATGGAATTCTGTCTGCACCCATTCCCCCTCAGAATCTGAACCAAATTAGTCGGAGGCCAATGGACACTTTAGTCCAGTGGGGGCCGCTACTATATACCGTACCAGTGTTAATGTCTGCACATGTTACAAGTGGCAACTGTCACCCATTCAAATTAATGATCAGGTGACCGCTGCTGCATGTAAACACCTGCACACCGCATGTAATCATATGTGAAAGGATTACATGCAGTTAGGAATCAATCACTATCCCTTGTGTATCCAGAGATAGTGATTGTTTTTGTAACTGGATGTAATCATGTAACTGGATGTAATCATATCACATACAATTGCATGCGGTATGCAGGCGTGTACATGCAGCAGCAGTCACCTGATCATTAACTTGAATGGGTGACAGTTGCTGCATGTAAACGCCAGATTAGGGATTCCTGTTGCAGGAAAACGCAAGTTTGTGCCACAGGAATCACCAATCGCACCTGAAATATAGGTGTGAATGGGGCCTAACACCCACACA